TTGAGCACACCCTGGAGTCTTGCAGTGGCAGCACCACTGAGGTCTCTCTGCTGTGCCCCACAGCCTTACAGTTAGAAAAATTGCACCCAAATTCATATCACTCGCTTTCTGTATTTGGCTGAACTTAGAAGCCTTATTTCTTTAGACACCAGGTTCCCAATTAACTGCTGAGCACTTCTGTTTATGGGAATTACCTACTGAGAAAATTCTTGTACAGGAGAAGAGCTAGAGGGGTGAACTATTCTCGGTGGAGACCGTGCATGCGGGGAGCTGTTGGCAATGGGAATTGTCCAAGGAAGTAGTTGTACCCGCTGCAGCCTCTGCGTAGTAATCCCCATGCGTGCTCAGGGCATTTACCTGCTTGAATAACTCGCAATTCCTAAACTTGTGGGGTATTTTGTGCTGGAATAGACGAGCCTTTTCTCCAAAGGAGTGCTTATTCAAGCAACTCCTGTCCCTGCTACCCTGGCTGCTCTCTCCTGCCCCCATGCTGGCCCTTGCTTTATCAGGATGCTCCTTTTTTCCCAGGTTATTTTTCCTCCAGGCCAGTTTGACAGTCTGGCTTCGTAACATCCCTGTGCTGCAGCAAGGTGGCAGGAAAACACAGAGAAAGCGAGACAGTGGGACTGCTTCCAGGGAGGGTTTGGCTGGAAGGCTGAGGACTTTTTTTTTCTCCCCACCTTGGTGAACAGTTATTCATACACGGTCTCAATTTGGCAGCCTTTTCTTCTTAAAAGCAGCCTGTTTGGGGGGTATCTTTCAGCTCTCATGTAAAAAAAGGACAGATTGCATTACTCTCTCATTCCTGGGGAGAACAACATGTTCTCGCTGCTTTTCTTTCGTCTGCATGAGCCATCCTAAATAATAGCTGGACTCTTTTCCCGCACGTCCATCTCGCCTCCCACAGCAACTTGCTATTTTATGCAGTAGCCAAACTAAAAAAGGAAAGTTACTATCATGCCAAAAATGCAACTTTGATAAAATATGAGGGGATAAGTCAGCCTAAATATGACTGGCTTGGGATCCAAAGAGAATAATGTGGGAAGGAGAATTTTACTTTCTTGCCTCTCACGCCTACCAAACGCCTGGATACAATGAAGTGAATTCCTAAATGAATGCATTAAATACCTAAGAAAAGCAAAACAGATTTTTTGCTCTAATGCAAAGAATGCTAGACGGTGAGGGCAGGACTGAAATTATATCCTAAAAGATGTCATATTTTCACCCTATAATGCATGGTTTAACAGTTTTAGATGCGTTCAGACCTGTGCTTTTAATTGCTCTAATTTGGAAAGCCATATCACACTTAAAAGGAGAGGAAAACCCTCAGTATGTTTTGTGGGTTATCCTACACACTCTTCCATCGCCTCGAAGGGGATGTTCTCGTGTCCTCTGGCTGTCCAGTGTGAGTGTTAAGGGATGTGAAAAACTGCCTTTTGGGCAGTTCCCAAGCCTACAGTGCCCAGGAGAGGGTTGAAAAGGATCTTTCTACAGGGTTTATTCTTTACTCTCTATGATAGACAGTCTGTTGTACTTTTATACGATAGTAGTAGTTTCACACTTTCTAGGATATCCAGAATCAACGCTTAAAGCCTTCCGAACTGAAAAGCAGCCACCAGACATCCTTCCATGAGTTTGTAATGCCCCTTGCCGCACAGAGGAGCAGCACCCCCTGCTTCAGGAACAGGAAACTCTCTCTGCTACTCCTTCCCCAAAAAGCTTCATGGCTTGGCTGCAAAAAGAGAGGGAGGAAGGAAATTTAGGTCGTGCATCGGTCAGTTCTTGGAGTTCTCATGTTCTGGTGTCTCCAACAGAAGATCTGAAAGTGCATTAAATCCAGAGTAGGATTTGGGCATTGCCAGCAATTAGGTGCGGCTCTGCACGTTGCGTGGCTGAGCTGAGAGGATATACCCTCGGGGCTGAAAAGGATGCAAGGTTTCCACACGTCTGGGCAGATCCATGCTTTTCTGTGTCTGGAAAATGTTCACTTTTAAAAAAAGGAAAACCCTCCTTATCTTACAGTGCCCAACAGCAATACCAGCTCATAAGATGCCCATGTCACTCCCTGAGCCTGTTCACTCCCCCCATGCACTTAAAAATTTCCAGCCCACCTGACCTCTATTGGAAAGTCTTATCTTTTAAATATGACCACTGTAAACACTCCAAATTTTAATGGGCAGAATATCTTCAAAGAAGTTACTCTGATCTTCAGAAACTGTCATGGTTTGATAGAGGTCGTTTTGCCTATCTCCAGCGGAAGTGGAGGAATGCACAGTTTATACTAAAATAACGTGCACTTGTCCTCATCGCGGAGACTTCTGAGCCTCAGCCAAGCCTTTTCACGTCATTACAGTCTACTGTGGGCTGTGAAGAAATTATTTGCCTCTTCACACTTTTGATCTTTGCAGAAAGGAGTGCGTGGCATTTCCAGCCCAGATGTTCACGATGTTTCTCCTAGGCCCGATGGAGAAATTTCTCCCTAAACGACTCCTGAGCCTCATGCCCAGATTAGTAACGAGTTCCTTGTAAAGGTAAAAAGTTAAATAAACACTGAAGCAGCTCTGTCAAGGTCATCTGAAATCACAGAAAAGAATTGTGAATGGGAACAGCTGCTATGAAATGATGGCAGGCAAAACACATATTGTGGGCACTTTGGAAACGTCTTGATTTGAGTGTTGGGAAGATGTGGGTCCTGTAGATGCATGGTGGGAACTTTGACTTGCAGCACCAATGGTGTTAATGGTGCTTGAAAGAGACTTTGGAGACAAGAAATGTGTCGTCTCAGGATGCCCTAGTGTTTGGGACACGCAGGTGATGGGGAAGGTGAGGTTTGGATAGCTCAGCTTTGAAGGTGTCTAAGCCTGATGGAGGCCACACTGTCCTCCTTGGAGGTCTTCTCTGTGATGCCAACCCGTCTGCAAAGCTGTGGGCTGTGGAGCTCTGCACCAGGAGTTCCAGCCCCACTGATCCAATCCAAAGGGGTTATGTGAGCCTCACTGAGATTTTAAATTACCAAATTTCAGGTTTGAAACATTTTAGTCAGATTTGATCATTGCAAGAGCAGAGGACCTCGGCTGTGGGTCCCCTGGAAGGCACTGTGGTTTTGCAGCAGCCCCATGCAGTAACCCCACACAGGTCTCCAGAAAAAAATAATTCCCTGGTGTGGAGGTTTGTGGGCAGGACAGTGAGGAGCTGTGTATCTCTGGGGATGCTACGGAAACGAAAACCACCTGCAGTCAGAGTCTATAGGGCCAATGAGCTATTTATGGATCAGATTCTTAACTGCAGCTCAACTTTCACAAACCTCTCTTTACCCGTACTTTATATCCACAGCTGAGCGAAAGGGGATTCAATACACCAAATTGAATCCAAGTTTGAGACTAAGGAGTCTGGTATCAGCTTTAGGGCTAGACAAGTCCTCCCCCAGCAAGGCTGATAGCAGCAAATGCTGTATACCCAATAGGTTTTATTCTCCAATAACATTTTCCTGCTCCCATCTCCCCCTTTTTTACATAGTTTCCTCGGTGTCCCATTCTCTCACCGGTTCATTTTTCTTCACAGGCTCTGCCAAGCAGGTCTGCAGCCTGTCTCGAGCTGAACATTTGTATCACCAAAGCCAAGTCCTCAGCAGCAGTCCAGTGTTGTTGCATTAACTTCACCATGCTTGGCACAGAGGTCCTAGACATCTTGCTTGAAAACCCCTGCAGTTCTCGGTGGTTTTCCATTTTCTGTTCCCATGAAGGCTGTAGGCTGGGCTGAGCGTGTGTGGTGTTGTTTCCCCTTCTCAACGTAAATGAGGAGTGCAAGGTTTTCTTGCAGAGTCCTGTTATTTTCTTTCCTACACCAAAAACTTCAGCAGCATCGTGGTACTGCTGGAAGGGCGACTTGCTGGCAGGTGGTGGGAAAACAAGCAGACAAGTTTACAAATAGACATGCTGGTGCCATGAGACCTTCACGTCCAGTTAGTCCTTACGCTGATGGCAGTGTAAGTATCGTTGTTGGGGTGTAAACCCAGGCTTCCACCAAGGTGGCTGAGGAAATCCTGTTCTACACTGACAAAATGATGAAAACCAAAAGCAAAGGCGGTAAACAAGTCCAGATCTGTTGTTCTTTGAAAACTGTCCATCAGGGAAAATGCAGAAGCCCAATTTTCTGTACAGGGTAAAGCTGCTGACAAACTGCCTCTGCACAAAGAGCTCCCTGTATGGGTGCGTGAAAGCGCTCTCCAAAGCCTCAGCAGCAGCTGTGCTGGATTTATATACACATGGCTATAAGGAACAGTGATTTAAAATAACTGAACAGCCTCTTAACCAAAGAGGTTTTTATGATACTGTGATTTTACGCCTGGAGCCTTGATATCGATGGGTCTGGCGCAGCACACAGCGCATGATGCTGTTTGACACCTCTTCTCAGTGGACCCAACGGTCTGTCTGGGCCTCTCTTGCTCTATAAGAGCAATAATCAACTGTGTGTGTTAATATGATCGTCTCAGCCATGGCGCTGACAGCATTTGCAGCCCACCATCCAGGCACACTGCGTGGCAGGCTGTGCCATCCCAGGCCTCAGGGAGTTTCTGTCTCCCCAGACCCAGGATTTAAGGACTTTTTGTTCTACTCGGAAGCACTGTGGGTATCTCCAGCAAGGAGCCAGCTGGCTGGCAGGAGGGATGCTTGCTGGTTTATTTTGTGTCCTTAACCTGAACTCCTGAGTGCAAGATATTCTGATTGAGCAGCAAGAGGTATTGGCCTGTTCGACAGGTAACTTGAGCAGCTGAAAGAGGAGTTGAAAAAAACACCCAAAAAAAAGCTAAAGAATATTTTTGAAATTTCCTGTTTCAGAGCATAAACCAGCCTCTAACTTCTGGGCTCCTTCCTCCGAACTAGCCCGCGGTCAGCAGCAGAACACCGGGCGATGCAAGTCCCTGGCTCTGAACCTGCTTGGCAATTCCTGTGGATACATGCAGCTGCATTTTATGTCTGTGCACAGCTGGGTGTCTTCTCCTAGTTGGTTTTGGCATCAGTTTTGCTCGTGGATTTAGCTAAGTTTTTTATTTCCTCCTCAAGCATCTTGTTTTTCTTCTCCATGTCCTCCCGTAAGCGCTCCATGTTCATCAGCTTCACCTCCAGTTCCTCAGACTTCTTCTTCTCCTTCTCAATGTCCTGATTTAGCCTCACCACTTTGGCCCAGACCTCATAGTTTTCCTTCTCGAGACTGCAAAGAGAAATGGAGCGTGAAAGGATTGGATCGGAAGCGTGCTGGGAAGTCATCATTTGGCTCTTAAGGACTCTGCCCTCTGCGTCATTAAGCAATAAAATGAGCCAGAGGCTCTGTCCTGATCCCCTGACCCTCAATGGCCACATAACACGATGCAATGAATCAATACACACGATATATAATAATATGATAACAATATGTGAAGCTATAGTAACACTGATGGTTGCCACTCATAATGTTAGTTAATAGATAATTAGTTCGTTAATGTTAGTAATGTTAGTTAATGCTAATACTGAATTCTGGATAGTATAATAGTACAATATTGTAGTAATATCAAGACTTATGACAGTGTGATTATTGCAGAACCATTATAGTTAATACTCTATAGTCCTTATTACAATGATGTAATAAGGACTATAGAGTATTAATATTGCAGTAATATAACATTGGTAACTATGTCAGGAGAGTACAGCACATGAGCATTGACTTTTAGATAGCCTACTATAATACTATAGTTTATCGTTAGTCATTATGATTATACACTCTATAGTATAACTGGTAAAAAAATCTGTGCAATACTGGTGTTGTAATAACATGATCTGAAGCCTTCATACGCTCCAGAAAGCAGCACTCTGCAGTGTGTTACCTTTTAATTTGTTCCTCGTAGTCATTTTTCTGTGCCTCCATTGCTTTTTCCAGCTTCAAGATCACGTTTTGCAAGAACTCCCTGCTCTCCTGATCAGGCGTGGAGACCTCGGCAGGGCTGCTGATGGGGCTGGCCGTTTCCTTTGGCTGATGGCTGGGGCTGTGGCAGGGTAGAAATTCCTTATCAGAGCCGCTGCTGGAAGGGCTGGGGCTGGAGCCGCTGCCTTCCCCACTTTCCGCCTGGGAGGTAGGAACATTATCGTAGGTCGAAGCCCGGTGAAGGTCGAGCAGCTTAAAGAGATCATGAGACAACGTTCTCTTATGTCCCTCGGGGGCCGCGGAGCGCATGCTGCTCCCGGGGGAGCTTCTCCAAAAATCACTGGCAAATATGTCATTTTTGTCATTGCTGCCTTTCTCCCCCAGAGAAGCAGCTGTCAGGAAAGACTTCCTGTTAGGTAAAGTCTGAGTTCTTTTCCTTGATTGCATTTTCCACATTCCCAGTGTATCTTTGGACCCATTATCTTCTCTGGCTGCACTTGAGCTCGCAGCTGGTCCGGGGGCACTGCTGGAATTCAGGTCATCTCTCTGTAAGATAGACCCGTGGCATTAGGACAGGCTCGTGCTGCTTTGCGAGCAGAGACAGGTCGCAGCGACTGCTGTGACTGTGTTACTTACAAAAGGCACATTTTAACATGCTAACAGGAATGGCCACAAGTTTTCCATTAGAAAGAACTTTTTGCAGAGATTCTTCCCTTCTGAGAAAAGTCTTTAATCCTCAATGTTTTCATTTCACCAGCATGAACTGCCTTTTAGCTAAAAAACTTCAGGAGTTTTCATTTTTCCCAGAATAGTAGATTTTCCACAGGAAAGTGGAAAGTTTATCTACATCATTTTCCTGATGTAGATATTCCAGAGATGACAGTTACATCTCTTTACCCTATAAATAGCAAGTGCTCTTAGTGGCTCGCTGACCTGTTAAATCCCATAATAATTAATCACATATTTATTAAATGCACGTTTTATTATTTCTCTGAGGATCTAGCGTTACCATTGGCCTTTGGATCACGCTCTCCGCCCTGGGCACGGCAGGGTCTTCTGCAGTGTCCCAGCCCACGGAGCTGCGCGGGATGGGGGCTTTCTTGTCATTTTTGTGGGCAGGTGGGGAAGGCGGCACATCCTTGGATGGGGGAAAGAGGTCTGCGTGGTCACTTATCAGCACAGTCATCACTTTCTGGATTTGTGGTGTGCCTGGAAGAAATTAGAGATCTGTCAGTGGCAACTCCAATGCAACGGGCTTTCATCCACCCACACTTGCATTTTCTGGTTGGTCTTTCTGGTGTCCAAAATAGAGATGCACATAGAAATGCTGGTGAGACAAGGACCACGATCATAAAACCAAATAAAGGAAGGGATTGTTATATCACCCCAGAATAGCAGGAGTAGACTATGGAGCAATGAAAACAGGAGTCTGCTCAGCTGCACCAAGCCACAAATTGTGCTGCTTTGGCTCGACAAGCAAACTCCAGGTATCAGTTATACGAACAGGCATATGAATATCTGGACCATTTACATGTGATGTCTGTAGAGCAGAGCAGACTTTGGCCTTAAAATATTTCTTGTATTAGTTCTGCTGCATCTGTCCTTGCCCACGGGATTACAGATTGGCTCAGCTAAACAGTAATTTCTTTGAGTTTCCTTTGTTTCTCTAAAAAGAATTTTACACCTTCCTGCTCAAAGCAAAAGAAAGATGACGTCACCAAATTCCTGAATTGTTTGAAATCTACAGAAGGAACATACAGTGCTCCTAATGGGGTTTTGTCACTATAAACACACTTACAGCCTAACTAACATGTGGCTTTACTCTACTCTGCTGTACTTACTGTGCCCAGGCATGTGTCTGGCTTATATCCATGGGTCTACTGTAGAAAATTTTTAATTTCAAGATTGTGGATGCAACTGAGTATTTCAGCATATCAGGTGCTCCAATGCCAATTATTCCAGGAGTCCCTTTTACCTCTCATAATAATTGCAGGATCCTCTATCTTGGGTCTGATGAGGTTCACTCCAATCACTGTTGCCAGGTTATCCACACTCATCTTGTTGATGCTAGAGTTCAATTGTATTTCGTGTAGAAACCTGCCAGAATCCAAGGGCAAATATTTCAAGTCAGAGAAAGAAGACTGCAAAAAGCCTTACACACCCACTGGAATAAAATCCTGATTAATCCATCCAGCTCTTCCTCTAAATACCAAGGACAGAAACATATAGTTGCCTTATAACTGCGAACTGGAGTTATAAAAAACTGGAGTCTTATTGGTGTCAGTAGAAAAACCACCATGTGATGAGCTGCTCAACCAAAAAAAAAAAAAAAATCAAAAAGGAAGGGCAAAAACCCATCTAATATTTAATAACCAGAGGAAAATCACCCAGGCTGTGTGAAACCCAACAGTTTTGTTGCACGAAGCTTTTTCTGGAAAAACTACACTTGATTTTAATTCTCAGGGATTCATAAGTGAGTTTTAGGGTAGGCACTTATGCTCAGACGTTGTCAAGGTGTTTATCCCCATGGCTGAAATTCTGCCTTTACAAAAGTCAGGATCTGGTGCCTTGGGAGGGAACCAAAATACGGCTTAAGAGGGCTCTCTCTAGAGGAGTCAGCCTTAGCCTTTGGGACGTTTTTTCTGCTCACCTACACCAAATCTGAGCTGTTCATACCTTGTGCAGCGAACTGACCTGCAGATATAGCTGAGGAGGTTGTAGTTGTCTCTGGGAAGGAGGGACAGTTGCTTCAGGAGTTCCTGATGGCCCTAAATGCAAGTTGAGAAATACCTCTATGAAGATTCACAGATGTATACAGACTCAAGAGTGCCTCTTGGTCGCTCCATCCACCCCTGTATGGTCTCACCTCTTGTCATTTGCTCATCTTGAAGATTACATTTCTCCAGCAGACCAAGCATGGACAGGAAGTTTTTGTACAGTGCTCAGCAAGAAGAGGCAGCCCGGTGCCCAGCACTGCCACCGCAGCACAGAGCAGGGTCCTCTCCGCCCAGCACGTGTGTGATGAGCTCTTCGGAAAGAGCTGCTCGTGCCTAAACGCCTTCCATTTCTTGAATATCAACATTTAGGGCATTTTTAACCCCAAAGATCCTGAAGTGAAACAACCTACAAGAAGCATTTGCCTCTGAAATATTGGGCTGAACACTGCAGTTCACAGAGCTCATACTACTGAGGATATCTGCCTTATTTTTCTGTGTGTAGGAGCAGCCTCTATGAGTGGGGTTTTTTTGCAGTGGGGGAGCTTCTTTTCCACCAAAATACATAGTTAGGAAAAGACAGATCCCATCTGTTTCTCACTTCTCCCTCTCCCAAATCCCCACTTCCTTCCTTGCTCTCAGCCAGAGCCCTTCGCCAGCTCTGCTCTCAGCTCGGGCTGGTGGAGGCTGCAGGAGGTTGTGTTTCCTTCCTCTCTTGGTTTTCACACTTGCTGTTTGCTGCAAGGGCTCAACGAAAAGAGGTGCTGAGCAGCTCTTAGATCTGCTCCAGAAATTTAAGCTTTAAAATTGGTAAAGTCCTGTTGTCAAGATGGGAAGCCCTACTGGCTTTGGGAGATTTTTCTCTTTTTAATTTTTTTCTTCTTTCCCCTCCCCCCAGATTTCAAAGCTCAGTAATTACTCAGCTTGTAATGCACAGCTACGTATGCACCCGGCATCTCCAGCTCGCAAAGCCCTGGCACTGAAACACAGCTAATTTTAAGGCCAGAAGGAGAGAAATGAATGCATCTCTACCTTTCTCTCATCCGCATCCAGCGCCTGACCGCACAGCAGAAAATCCTCGTACTGCATCCAGGGTACCACTGGCTCGGGGAGCTCCCGCAGGTAGAGTTTGAACAGAGAGGCCACAGTGTGCACATCCGTATCCCTACAACGCGCAAAGAGGCACTCACGTGAAACTCACACCCAGCTGGTGAGCAAACCCTACCCCGCTCCGGGGCCATGAAGTTATATTTATGCTCTGTGTATAGATGCAGGAGACAGAAAGAGATAAATAGGGAGTCCAAACCAAGCTGGGGGGACTCCATAGGGCACCCCAAGCCGGGGAACGGCCCCAGCTGGCAGGAAAATAAATGCTTGGCGGAGATTTTCCCTCTGTTGAGCTGGCAGGTCCCCCGTGTTCCTACCCGGGCTGAGCCTTCCGAGCCTGCGTTTGACTCATGAGGGTTTGCATGCAAATATTGTCTGGTGTTCACATGTTTGGCACGCACTCCCCACTCTGTGCGGAGCTGGCGAAGCTTGTCTGGGGTTTTTAAGATTAACAGCAATTACTGAAGATGTTCTGCCGGGACAGATGTTTGCAGCTTTGCATACCATATAGTTTACATTATGTCAAAAGGACACTGTCAAGATCGTAAGCCTCTAATTTGACCTACCTTGAAGTTGCTAAACTGTTATAAACTTCTAGCAGAAATCCCCCAGGTCATTTATTTTTAGGATTGGTTGGGGTTTTTAGAATTGTATTATTTTTAACAAACGCACATAACCATAGAGGAATTTTTTCAGAGCTGTATTTTTGTAGGGCCTATCAATACACACCATGAGGCATCTTGGATGCCTGGGCTGCAATGGCAGCTTTCTAACGCTCCCCACTCAGTCCTGCCAAGCTTCTGCACGCAAGTGTGCCTGTGCAAACCCAAACAGGCTGCAAAGATGGCACTGAAGGTCGAGCCAGCATCTTGTAGCATTCAGGTCACTGGAAACCCCACTATTTGCCTTCCTCCTCGCTAAGAAAATCTTTTGGTTGAAGTGCATGGGGGTTGCAGTCACCCTGAGCTCTCCGCAGCAGTGCTCGTACCAAACCCTTCAGCACAGGGTTAACATCGCAGGGTGCTGGGAAAAGGGCCAAACTCCCTCCCCATGCCCCACTGCAAAATACACTTCTGAAAATAAAAACAAGAAAGAAAAAAAGGCTTCACCTTCCTATGACCCCCATACAGGTTGCAACAGGAAAGCTCTCAGCAGGACTCTGGCACCCAGAAAGCAAGAAATATTCAGCTGCAAAACCAACAGCCGTGATGGTTACGCTTCCAGAGCAGCCGTGGCTCTACCTTGCACCTTGGTATTATTTAGGTAAAAACGCTGTGGTTTTTTCCTAACAAAGCTGCGTAAAGCTAGGTAAAAATAAGAAAAGTTTTGTGGTTAGGATCAGGCCTGCAAATACCGAGATGAGGCCTCTGCACTCTGCTTAGGCAAACTGTTTTGCACAAAAGTCCAGGGCAGCTCCTGGTGTTACGTGCTCCCCTCCCACAAGCACCCCAGATTTGGCTGGTGGCTCATGGAGCTCAGGTGATGCCATATGGGGCAGCTCCCTGGGTCTGCAGAGATGGAGCATCACCACGACCAGTATCGAGCACCTTCATACGTATGCAGCAGCCTGGGCACTCCTTGTCTCCATTATGGTGGACAGGGCAGGGATTAAACCAAAAAGCCTCGCTCTAGGTGCCGTGGAAAGGCGGGACCCGCTTTCCTTTATCCCAGCACAGGGGTCATTGCTTTCACCAGGGCAAACTGTCGCGTAAAGCCCCAGGGCAGCCTGCACGAGTGAGCAGGAGATACTGGGCAATGCTTTATGCAACCGGGGCCAAAAGCAAGGGGTTAAATCTGACTTGGGGATGGGGAGAGGTGGGAAACCTCTTTATAGAGATAGTGAGGTGCCTGCAGGGGCAGCTGGTCTGTGAGCTGTCACGGGAGGACTTGATAAAGAGATGCACCAGGGGTTTTACCTTTTTTCTCCCATTTTGCATAGGGCATGGCAGAGGTAGCAGTAGCAAATGTCTCTCTCCAAAGCCTCTCTGAGACCTACAGGTGGCTCTCTCGGCTCTAGGGAGTTTGCCATTTCCTCTTATTCCTGCAGAGGAAGGGGGTCAGGAGGACACAGCCTTGCAGCAGCCAAAATCTCTCTCTCATTGCTATATGGTGTTGTAAGGAAAAGCAACAGGAGGAAAATATCCTGGCTGTGGGCTGGCAGGGAAAGAAATAACTTCTACTGTGTGCATTAGGGTGTTCTCAGAGCTTATTTGTGACCCTCTACTTGCTCTCCTTTCTCTAAACCTCTACCCTTGGCTGATGGGCCGTGCAGGCTCTTCCCTTTGCCTCCTTCCTTGGCAGCTCCTGTGCGGGACTAATCTCTGCGTGGGGCCAGGATTTTCCTAAATGCTTTCCTTTATTTCCATGAATCTCATCTCAGCAACCTCTGATTCTGTTTTTGCCTCCATTTGGGTTTTCTGCTCTCTCCTTTTTAAACCCTTTTGGGGGTTTAAAAGTGCAGGGCACTGCTGTGGTCTCTGGGGCGTTAGACAGGCTGCTTTTCCCCAGATTTTGGGGTGTATGAATGAGACATAGTTGAGTAGGAGAGGGGCAATCCGGCATTACCTGTCAAATGATGGCCTTTCTCCAGCATCGAACGCATCCCTGAGCTGTTTCACCAGGTTGTCTTGGCCAGGGAGGCGGAAGATGCCCTCCTCGCTCACACCGTGCTCCCGGATGAACTCGGCACACTTCTGCACCAGGATGGGCACCTGGTGCTGCCCAAATTTCTGCTCATAGGCCATGGTCTCCGCCAAGCGCTGGCCAAACACCGCTAAGGAAAGGACAGAGAGGTTAGAGGACCCCAAAATCTTTGCTAAAGACACAATGCCTGCCAAAGTGCATCAGGTGCAAATGTGGCAGCAGTACCTGCTGCATAGGAGCTACAAGAAGTCTGCAAACTGGGAGAAAGCAGAACTTCTTGCAAAGAAATAATAGTAAGATGGGACCTTGTTCCTCCTCCAAATAATTAACGGTTCTCAAAATTATTAAAACCAAACAGTGAACTTTGTTTTTTGCCATGCCGCTTGCCTGCCCTGCTCCAAGGTGCTGATGCAGAGACAGGAACAGCAAAAAGGCTGATGTGAGGGCACAGGGAGAGAAGACAAGCTCATCAGACAAACCTGAAGGATACAGAAAGCACAGGAGACCACCAAGAAATAAGTAAAGCAGCCTTGCAGAGATTTGAGGCTGGAAGTCTTACTGATTTAGTTGCTTTTCTCTCCCCTCCCCTCTCCTCTCACCCTCCAGAAACTCCCCTGTGCAAAAAGAAGCAATATTTTGCACCGAGCGGTACCTTTGCTTCGGAGCAATGGCTTTTTCCTCCTGAACTCGCAGCAAAAGAAGACCTCAAAGGTGGGAAGGCAGCAGCCTGCATCCCAGCTCTTCCTCCTCGAAGCCTGGGGCATGGTAAGAGCAGACAAATCCCAACTCAAACTGGCTCTGGGATATTAATGGCAAAGGGTCTTATGGTCCTCTACCATATTTTTGCCCTGGTAATACCTGCGATGTGTTCACCTCGTGCTCTGAAGGCTGAAATAATTCCTGTGCATCTTCCAGACCAGGAAAATGCAAGTAAACACTCTCATCTGGAACCACAGGGCTTGTCGGCACCTGCCTGATCATAGGGGTTTTTCATTTATGACTCACACTTTTAAATAATGAATATAAGCCTGTCATTGTGCACAGTAAAAGCAAATAGCTCCCCCCCCCCCCCCCCCCCTCCTGTGCGAGACTAAA